TCACAGATGACTTCCACTCCTTCTGGCAAACAAAAAGGTTTTCTTTCAGTAACTTTATTTTTAGCGCAATGCTTTCTAGCTTTGACAGTCTGAAATGAGCCTTCGTTTGATTCGTCCGATGGAAGAGGCTCACTCTGCTCAAGGTTTCTGTTCTCAGCCTTACTTCTTGCACTRTCATGTGTAGCAATACCATTTTTTACCACCGGAGACTTAGCTGAGTTGTTTTGGGTAACTGTGGAATCGTCATTGCTGAAGGAACGTAACACTGAATATCTATTGGCCGAAGGTGATAGTGTATTACTGCTTTGACAAGGTCCCTTGGTATTCACTGTTGCATTGGTTGAAGAAGGAGATGGTTGATTACTGCTTTGACGGGGTTTCTTGGTATTCACTGTTGCCTGTTTTGGTAAACCTTCCCAAGTCGAATCAATATTATTCATTGCATTGTGACGATTGCCAGTTCTAACACTATCAGTAGACTTGACGGCAGAACGGGATGATTGATTAACACTTGCAACATTAACACTATCAGTAGACTTGGTCGCAGAACGGGATGGTTGATTACTGCTTTGACGGGGTCCCTGGGTCTTCGCCGTTACCTGTTTTGGTAACACGTTGCCACTTGAAACGCCTTGAGAATATAAATATAAAGGTATCAAATATTTAAATCCTAATGAAGCAAGTCTCTCATCAACAAGGAAATTGAATTTTAAAATTTAAAACTATTGAATTGGTTTCAGATAGAAACTTCTCTTACTTATGTTTGTGGAATTCCTCACTCAAAAACAAGATCAAAATAGGCCATTTGCACTGATTGGACACGTGACCCTACATACTTTAATTCAAGCAGGAGTGTCAAAATTAAGACCGAAAATAAACAAAGCAGTTTCAGCTCCAAATGTCAACTATAGCAGAAATAGCAATAAATATAAAAACGAAACTTTCAGTTTATGAACATCATTTGGCATGGGTAAATGTGTTGACTACTTGCGATTAGAAGCAGAATTGCATACAAGCAACCGAGACAAGGTTTTTTTTTTACTTTCCCCCCTCTTTTTCTTTATCAATATTTAGTTCAAATGCTATAATGTATAAATAGTATGTTTGGAATCAAATGATTTACCAGGTTTGTGATCAGCAACCATCTTCTTATCATGGAAAAGAAAAGAAAATTAAAGAAAGAACTTCCATTATGAACTTCATGTTATATAATTGTACACATGTTAAAACTAAACCAATACAATCATTCCACTTGCCTTTACTTCGTTTTTATTGTCTTTGATTTTACTCATCTTTTTGTCTTGTTGTTTTCCCTGCAAGGACAAAAATATATTTAGTAATACAACTGTGTCAGACCATTTGCACTAAAAGTATGCGAATCAGTCCCCGCTCTCAAACAAAGCAGTTGTGTCAAAATGAAAGTGCCGTGAAGGAAAAAGACCACCTCATGACCTCCTTCCTTGTAGCACACTCTTCACACAAGATAAAGAAAACGTTTATTTCGAGCCTTAATTTCGGCAAAATATGGCTATTTTAAGAGTGCCTTAACATTTAAATTGGCAGTTTTTACTCTGCGAAGTTGTTTTCGAAATTCCAACAATTTTGGCAACACTCATGCTATGCAATGATTCGGACTATGGGATATATGCACCTAGAATACAAGCTAACGATCCATTTCCCTGTTTATCAGTTCTGATGGCTGAATATTGAGACTTCAGCAACATACGGCGAGAGAAGGAATGAAATGGGAGGTAATTTTTTTCCTTGCGACGTATTTTGGGCTCTGTTAAATAATAAGATTAATTACAAAATCAAATTGTTGTAAGTTGATTGAAAAATGAAGATGGAAGATGGCCAGCCTTGAGTTAATTACATGGCCAGAAGCTAAACGCGAATAATGCGGCCATAATACCGACATACCTTGCTATGATCAGGAAGATGGCTTGCATTTTCTTCTTGAGCTTTAGCTTGCTTGGCCTTCTCTACTATGTCCTCATGCAATTTTCGTGCTTTGGAGTTCGAAGAAAAGCGAACCAAGACTATTGGTGAAACAAAAATTATGTAAATAATTAAACAAACAATAATAATAATAATAATAATAATTGAATAATAATAATTGAATAATAATAAAGACAAAACAAATTAAACAAGAAATTAAGCAAAACAAATTGTAAAACCACCTAAGATCGATTTGTAGGTTGGTGTCATAGATTACGAAAGAAACGTTTCTCCAACTTGATAGACATAGAATACAGTACAATACCTTTTTCAACTTTACTTTTAGCTTGGTCAAGATCRCCCTAAAAACAATGATTGTGTATAATGAGCATGAGGATACTATGTCGATATCTTATTATATTGTTGTTTTTTTTATTGCTAGTCTACTGTGGGACCTAATTTGGTCTAGAACATATGTACCTATTTCAGTAAATTAAGTCTGAAAAGCTACAAAGCTGATACCGGCAAGGATTTTGGGTAGAAATATTTGACGCTTCAACAGCTTGATACATATTGATGGATGGATCCTTTATAATTCACTGATTACGATTTCACCTCCTCTGAGCATCTTCAAGCTGCAGTTTGTATTAAAAGCTTTACTTGTTTGACATTATTTCCATGATCCTCAGCGATCGCCGCTATCTATAGGTTTTTGGTGACTATGTTTATTGAAATAAGTATATTATCAGGCCTCGTAAGCATATTATCGCAAAAACCTTTATTTGGAAGCTTAGAATCATCATCAGAAAAAAAAGTTCCTAGCAGGGGAACGACAAAACGCAAAAATCTGATAATTTTACGTAAAACTCTGTAACGGTTTGCACTTGAGTGGCTCTCCAGGCATCTCCACGCGAAGTGGAATCAAAAAATTAAAATTCTAGCTTCTGACAACACTAATGGAAGGAAGGAAGGAAGGAAGGAAGGAAGGAAGGAAGGAAGGAAGGAAGGAAGG